ATTTGACAAAGTTTAATTTTAAATCTAAAAATCTGAAAATTGGTATTTTTGCTTTTTGGACATCATACAAATATTCTATAATAAAAATAATATGACATCTATATGTCAAAAATTTGAATTGTATACCAGAGTATACATATCCAAATAGTCCGAAAAATAGGTTTGTATAGCATATCATTACATTGCCAAATTATAAAGGATAAGTAATATGAATAACTACCAAAATTTAATAAAAAATGTATAATTATGACTCAGCTCAACAACTACTTCTTAAAATCAATCAAATCCACCCAAATATCAAATTTACCATGAAACTAGAATCTTCCCAAGCCATTAATTTTTTAGATTTATCTACTACCAGACTCAACAATCACTTTGACTTTGGCATCTTTCGCAAAGCCCACCCAAACCAATCATGTCAATAATTCTTTCTCCAATCACCCTCTATCACACAAATTAGCTGCTTTCAGAAGTTTCATCCACAGACTATATTCAATACCTATGTCTATTGACTCCTTTAATAAAGAACTCAACATGATAAAACAAATAGCTGTCAACAATAGTTATGATTTTTATAATAGATAAACTCATTCATAAAAGAGAATCTAGATTGCTTCAAAATTCTGCTTTTATTCAATATTCTTCTTCTACTCTAATTTACAGGCCTTTACCGTATCACACTCCCAAATTATCTGAAAATATCAGACGTATTATAATTAATTCATCAGAAAATACACATATATCTTTTAAAGTTGGAAATACTCTTATCTATTTCTTGACAAATACTAAGTATACAATACACTATATGAACCGTAGTTTTACTACGGTTTACTGACTTGTTTTGATTGCGATGCCTCCTACATTGGCAGGACTTATAGGTCATTTTAAAATAGATCTGCAGAACACTCTAAAAGAGATACTACATCAGTTTTTTCACATCACCTTAAAGATAACAATCAGCATTTTAACATCCCCTGATGGAGTCAAAATTATTCATAACATCCAAGATAGAAACACTTTACGGTTGGACTTGTATGAGGACCTTAAGATCTCCAGAGACATGATGACATCAAGTCACTCCTACTTTTGCTAAAGTTAAAACATAAAAAAAAATGTACCTGATAAGGATAAACAGATTTTGAAGAAAAAGATCCTGAAAAGAAACTTAAGAAGCATTATAACAAACTCCATCGTATTAATGTCAATCTGAAAATTACCTATGATCAAATTTTGCAACAGCATCCTTGGTTTCTTGTCAACGATTTCTTCAACAACATAGAAGATGAGGTCGCCCGCTTAAAATCTACCAAGAAGAAAAGTGTTACCAACAAACTAAACCGTTTGATTTTGCAAAAACAACAGAGAAGCACCTCAACACCTATGTGCTTGGAGAATTTGCAGTGGAGCTGGATACTCTAATAGAAGGTATGACTAAAAATGCTGATATTAAACAATATTTGAGAAACTCTTGCATTAGCTTACTTCAACAACAACAATGTAAGTACAAACGCAATTTTCATAGACATCACCATAATTTTAAAGAACAAAAGGATTTGCTAAAATCAATTAAACATAAAATTGATAGAGATTCTCTTGTACTCAGCAAGGCTAATAAGGGTAATTGTGTTGTAATCTTAGAACAAATTCAATACATTGAGAAAGTAGAATATTTCCTTTCAGACAACAGTTTTGTAGTTTTGGAAAAAATCCACTTAACACCTTTATTAATTAAACAAAATCAATGGTTAAATGTTTAATGACACTATTACTAAATACAACAACATACAGTTATCTGTATCTAATCCTATAACACCTAGGTTATATGGACTTCCTAAACTCCATAAACACAATTGTCCCATAAGGCCTGTAGTAAGTTTTTGTAACACTCCAGTTTCTATTTTATTTATTGAGTTTATTTACAACACAACTCAGTCTATCACTAATTTTAAACCTAAGTTCTCCATTAAAAATTCTTTAGATCTAATAGAACGTTTAAATAACATTAGGATAGAAGATGGTTTTTATTTAGTTTTTTTTTTATGTTTCCAATTTGTTTACTTCTGTACCAAGAGATAAAACATTACCTTTAGTACACAACCTTCTAGACAATTGCAACATATCTGCAAAGGATAAAGATGCTATATTAACTGTGCTTAAATTCTGTCTGGATCAGGACTTCTTCCAATTCAATCAAAAGATATATAAACAACCAACAGGTTTAGCAATGGGATCTCCATTATCACCTTTTCTAGCTGATATTTTCTTAGACAGCTTAGAACAGAAGTTTGTTAATAACAACAACAAAATAGTTTTTTGGTCAAGATATGTGGATGATTGTATAGCTCTCATACAGGGAACCCAGGATGATGCTTTACAGATTCTGGATAATCTCAATAGCCTCCATCCTAACATATCTTTTACTCTGGAACCAGAATCTGACAATAAGTTGAACTTCTTGGATATGACTATTTCCCGTAATAAAGATTCTTTAGAGTACAACATTTATAGAAAACCCACCCAAACAGATCACATTGTACATGGAACGTCTAATCACCCAACTCAACATAAAAAGGCTGCTTTCAACAGTTACATTCATTGGTTACTTAAATTTTCTCTTTCTGATGATAATTTTAATACAGAACTTAATACTCTTAAGCAGATTGCTTTCAATAATGGCTATGATCCTAACATTATATACAAGGTTCTAAATAGAGCTAAATTAAAAATTGCAGAAAAGCTTGCATATTCATCACAGTTTTTTCAACCAAATGCTTCAGATAACATCAGATATTTCTCCTTTACTTATATTAGTAGCATTTTCAATAAAATATCTAAACTTTTTACTTCTACAATTGATAAAATTTCCTTTAAGTCACATAATACTTTAGGTTCCTTCTTAATCAATACCAAAAATAGGATGAATACACTTGATAAAAGTGGTATTTACAAATTAAAATGTGATGATTGTGATGCCTCTTATGTAGGTAGAACCATCAGAAAGTTATCCACTAGAGTCTCTGAACATTTGAAAAGACCAAACTCTTCAAGTTTTGGTCAACACTTAGTATCCAGCAAGCACAATTTTAACATCAATTCTGGTTCATCTATCTTACATGACATTAGTAGAAAGAAAAACTATCTTGAGTTGGATTTATTGGAAGATTTGGAGATTACAACGGAAACTAATGAAAACTCTCACTGTTTTAATAATCAAATTAATTTAAATTGTACTAAATTTAATCCTATATTTAAAAACTTTATTACAGCTTCACCTCGTAGAGGACCCAGCTCGACTGTTTAGACTTCATGCACTGAGCATTTCGATATTAATTTTAAAGTTCTTCCATTGACTGTGGATTCGACTAAACTACTTGGATTATAACCCATTTATATATTCTGCTTTCAATTTTGATTTTAACTTTTAGTAATTTAACTGCATATTCAGATTTTTCCTTTTTTACAGTACTGATAGCGCTTGGTGGACCATTTTATTGTAGTCAACTATCCACTGTCTAATATATTGTTTAGTCTTTTTCTTACATTTATACTTTATGTCAACTTCAATTGCTCTCAAACTAACATCCTAATTATTATAGACAGGTTTGAGTGTGATATTTGGATTATTCAATCTACATAAAAAAAAATATACTATATAATTTTATATTTCATCAGTTGATCTCCTATAGTGGTGTCAGTTGGACCTTTAGTCAATACTTAGTTTCATAGAATTTTGAAAGGCGCAGATCACATATCTATTATAACTGCCCTTTACAAGCTGTCATTTGTCACATGTCATTTAAATATTGCCGCCAGACCGGGAGCCATTCTATCTCCGGCTTTTATATAACATGTAGCTTCTCCATTTTTAAAAATTTTAAAGTGTTTGTTTGTCTTTGTGTATTGTATTGTTATATCCAAATTTACATGTATGACATTCTGCTCATGTCGGATAGGCCACAACTGGCGAAGTAAGTCTATAAACGTTTATCACATAAAAACTTTTTTCAACCATAAACTTCGAGTTTTTTATCGAAGTGAATTAATTTTCCTTTTTTAAAAAACGTTTCTTGGCTTATTTTAGATGCCCCTGAGGATGATCTATTGATCGAAAGTACTTGGGCAAGATTTAATTAATTACTGTGTTCGATATTTACCTTGTATACTGAGAATAAAATATTAGAAAATGATAACATAGGGGAAAGCTCGGAAAGACACAAAATAACATAATTACCACAAAAATAAAAAAACTTGGAGAGGGGAAAATAACGAACACAACATATCAAAAACTAAAACCTTTTAGCCTCGAACCTCGTAGGCTTTTTTACAATATAAAATACAAAAAACACAACATGCATACAACCACTATAAACCAATCTGAAATTAAGCGAATACTTTAGCCAGAAAAATAAAAAAATAATACTGTGAGAGCTTGTCAAAACCGATGAAACACCTCGATGGAGAAACTAAGAGAAAAACTTATGGACTTTCACGCAGCACAAAAGAGATGTATGAGTATTGATCAGAGGACAAAAAAATAGAACTCATAAAAACGAGGAATATACAGAAGGAAACATGATAGACTACTTTCGATCCCCACATTTAAAGGTCTTAATAATGCATCACCAACACAAAATGTTACAACAAACCCAGACATAAGTAATGAGGAGGTGGGGCTAATAGAAGCATTAGGAAATTTAAAAAATAGCTCGCCGGGATAGGACAGAATACCAAACGAACTTATAAAGTATGGAGGTCCAGATCTGACCAAAGAACTATTAAAACTAATCCAAAAAATAATAGAACAAAACAGAATACCACAAGAATGGAGATCAAGCATCATACTAACTCTCTCCAAAAAGTGCTAATTTTTTGGGAACTTATTTTTGAAGCATTATACTGTTTATGTATAAACAAATAGTTTTTCAGTAAATCGACTTAAAACTTTTTGTATTGTATAGTATACACCGCCCGGTATGGCTTATTTGGCATTTTTTTTTCAGGCTAAAAAACGGAGAAAAAATATTGGCTCTTTTGCCTCCAGTAGGTGCTGAAAGTGACCCAGACAGTAGTAGTGATGACGAACAAGAATTCACAGAAGACACAGATGATGTTGAAAAAAAAAATATAACCTCTTAAGAAGATATAGAAGATGCTGTAGAAATATTACATGATTCAGTCAGTAAACGAAGACTAGCCGCAGCTACTTCCTCAGTAATGCCACAAGTTTATCCAGTAGTTTAAAAATAACCAAGTTCATCAATAAAACGGAAGGGGAAAAATGATGAGCATTTAGTCAACTGGACGCCTGATGACTTTGACTATGAGGTAACAAGAGAATAAAGTAATAATTTTACAAAACCCCGAAATATTAAAACACCTTTGCAATATTTTAAAACCTTTTTTAGTTAAGATATTGTTGAATTAATCGTAGAACAAACTAACGTGTATTCGACACAAACATTTCACAAAACAACATGTAAAAACAAGTATAGATGAGATGCACGATTTCTTACTTATCGAAATTTTATTGGGGATTGTTGACATGCTGACGTACACGGACTATTGGTCTAAAGAGACGCAATATGGACTAATTGCAAATGTAATGTCACTAATGAAGTATCAAGCAATACGACGCAGCCTACATTTTGTTAATGGGAAGTTGAATAATGACAGAGATTTCAATATCAGGCCTATTTAAGATCTTCCACGAAGAAACTGCCTCATAATTCAATCTAGAGTCTAGATGTCCAGTGGATGAAATGATGGCCCCATACAAGGGAAAAAAAGGCAGTCTAGAGAAGACAATATGTGAAGAAGAAACCAAAAAATGGGGCTTCAAAATGTTGGTTCGTTGTGGAGTATCGAGGATAGTGTATTATTTATCTCTTTATAGAGGAAACGATATTTTTAGAAACCATCCTTTTACATATGAGGAAAATAATATGAGATGTGGGGTAACATGTGTTTTACCACTATGTTTCCAAATACAAAATAAACCTTTATCAACGGTTCATTTTGATAATTATTTTCCAAGTTTAAAATTTATTACATATCTTGGAAATAAATTTGGGATACTTTCTTTGGGAACTGTTAGGAAAGACAGAGGGAACAGTATAATGATTCAAGTGGAAGGTTCTCCATTTGAATCTAATAAGAAAATTAAAAAAAAGATGGGATAGGTTCTTTCGACCAAAGAGTGGACAATGATAGTCGCATTATCGTTGTTAAGTAGTACCATAACAAGTCACATATCGGTGGTGTGGATTTGACAGACATATTGATTGCTCTATATAGAATACGGTTCAAAACACATAGATGGTATATGGATATTTTTTATCAAATTATGTATGTATATTTCACCTATGTATGTATATTTCACCTTATGTATGTATTTCTTTTTTGTTATAATGTAAATTGTTTTGAAAGGTACCCCTTTCAAGGTGGGGGGGGGGGCATGTTTGGGCTTCAAATTACACGCCAATTAGTGCAAAATTGTCTGAACGGCAACATTGTAAATGTCAAAGTAAATTGTTCCTTCAAGTTGACAAACACGTTTTCATTCTGTCAAAGTTTTAATTAATTTATTCAAGTTTATTCAACAAGAAGTTCATAACCAGCGCAAATATACAGTCCAACCTTCATGGTTTCTTCTAATCCTTTTAGTAAATAAACTCTAACTTTAACTCTGTGGTTTTTTTTATATATGGCTCTGAGTCTGTATCTATATTTGCACATTCCATATACCATAAATCAAAATTTTCCATATTTTATTTATATTTGAGACAACGTGAAAAAAAAATGTTTAATTTTATATCAGAAAATTTGAAAGAGAATTTTGTAGTTTTGAGTATTGGGAGAGATACTTGTAAATGTTCGTAAACGTTTTTGGTTTGTATTTGTTATACTTACTAAAATAATATGTAATCTCTCTTCTCAGATCAAAATCAAAGTAATGATTTCCCAATCTGTATCAGATTTTGTAACTTTAAAATAAGTTTTTTACCATTAATAATTATTATAATTTTTAATATTCAGTTTAACTCACTCTTTTTTATCTTCAGTAATTAATGTACTATTTCGTACTTAAAGAATTTTGTAACATTGCGGGACTACACAGTTTCTTATTTTTTTGATTTATACAATTATCTTCTGCAATAATTATAATATTAGAAATTATTATTAAATTAAATATTACACTTAGTACTATAGCAATGTTAGTTCTCGCCCTGACCTCGTTTTAATCGCCTTCAGTAAGTTAAAATTATAAATTATATTTGGTCACAGTTTTGACTGAAATTAATGCTTTTTGTTGTTGTAACAAATATTGTAAAATATGATTTTATGAATCAGTAATATTTATTAGAACATGGCTGAATAACTATGTACATAGTTTAGAGAAAGGTCAAGTATAAAAGATCGTTTTAATGTTTTTGTTAACTTTTGTCTTATTTTCTGGACGGAAACAGTCTAGACACATTTTTAACATTTTTTTTTAATATGACTGGATTATTACTATGCACAAATTAATCCTAACAATAAACCCTATGATACTCAAACCAGAAGACATTCCCAAACACATATTCAATCTCTTACAAGAAGTCATAGAAAAACCATTAACGAAGTTCGGTATCAGTTAAAAGAATTCAAGGAAAATAAACAAGGCTAAACTCAAATAAATGTCAATACGGCATAGGGAAAAGCTTAACCATCACAGATAATTTAGGAGAAGCCACAGATATGTTAAATGAATTGGACTTTGCATGTACGAAGGTGGGCATCAGAATAAACTTTACCAAAACTAAGATTGTTCTGAAGCTATTTTCTTGTGGCATTTTAAATTAATTACTATTTAACTGCGAATAAGCCACAATTAAAGATAAAAATACGTTTATTGACGTTTCAATTTCCACTTCGGAAATCGTTCTTAAAATACAAACAGTAAATTTACTGTTTATATTTGATTAAATAGTAATCAAAACTAAGATTATGACAAATATGGTCCCCAATAGCCATTTAACTATTCAATACAAAGTAGTAGAACTGGGGAGAAATATACGTATTTGGGTCATGAAATAAGAATCTGAAAGACGAGTATTGCTGATAATATTGTGAAACGCATAGCGAAACTAAAATAGAACTGGGCAGGCCATGTAGCGAGAATGCACGACTTACAATGGACGAGCAAAATTACAAATTGGAGGCCAAGAGCAGACAAACGTAGTAGAGGAAGACCACCTACACGTTGGGCTGACGTCATCAGGCGTATCACCAAAAATTGGAACAAAGAGCACAATTTCCTTAAGAATGAAAGAGTTTAAGAAAGGCCTATGTCCAGCAGTGGACGTGATAAATAAAGGCTGGATGATGATGATGATGATGATGAAGGAACAATGGCTGCCAAAATGATCCCAAACTTATAAAAAATATTCAACCAAAAGCACGTAAGTAGCTTCTTGAATTATACAGCCAAATAATGTTTAAACACAAGTTGACTATTTCATTAAGAAAAAGCAAACTTCTTGCAATATCTAAACCGGAAAAAAAACCATTATCTTATTTGAGAGAATAATCTATGCGGGAATTTCTCCGTTTAAAAACCCAAAAATCTTTATACGGCAAGCTAGATTCATACCAGAAAGAAGCTGCTGCGATCAAGTTCTTGCCCAAAGAACACTTATTAAGAACCAATTAAGAAAATTAACTTAAAATGGGAACATAAATAGTTTTCATAGAACTGATCTAATCTAATTTTTCTAAAATACGACATAACTCCAGAATACCTCGGGTAACACTAGACCGTATCCTCACATTCAAACAATTGCAAAATATTGCAGCCACAGTAAAAACGCCTGTGGGCGCCCTGAATGTGGTGTACTCTACTGCAGAGTATTGAGCATCTGCTGATAAATACAGACATCGATCAGCTAGATTAACAACAATTGTGACTAAAATCCATATAACTGCCAACAACAACTATGAATAAAATGTAAAACTTCATATCTGAGGAGCACTAAATGGCAAATGGAGTCAAGACATTCAAAACTCGAATATTGTAGAGACCTTCATAACCAAGCCAAACGGTTTTTCCGTTCTTCATTCGTTGATGGTGCAATCTGAACATGACACGAGGTGGCCATTAAGTTTGTAAAAAATCGCTAAACCAATGAGGTATTACCGCTAGCCTGGCATATGACAAACTGGTGCAGCGTTGCTGAACAAACAACTAACCACATTATCTTCGAATGTCCAGTTAATAAATTTTAAAACAACCTACAATATATCCACTAACTCACTGCCGTTGCAAGAGATTGGCTCCAAGGCTGTAACCTTCGACTGTAACGATAATAATTTTTATATTTATTTTTATAATGTAGTAAAACGTAATATCAAAAGAAATGGTTTTATGTATTACTACTATGTAATTTTAAATACAAAATATCTTATATCTCATAAAGGCAAAGGTAATTTGCATAAAAAATTTGGGACTGGTATAAACACTTCAGTTTCTGTGGTAAAAAAAACCCGTTAGAGATAATTCGTTTTTTTTTAAATGCGGTTTTGCATCTAGTTCTTTCTTTTTCGTAGCTTTTTCGACATATTTTCTGATCGAGGACGTCCCATAAACCTTTATTATGACAAAGTTCTCTTCTATAATATTGGCGGCGTCGAGTTCTTCATCCTCACTATCGAAAACAAACTTGCTCTCAGTTAAACTATCTATGTCTTCGATTTTTTCTTATTTTTAATATGCGATTTTATTGTCTTCTTAAATTTAGATGAGCTATTTTGCTTCTTGACTTTTTTTGCGATTTGTTTTATTTTAGAGACTGTTGCAATAATTGACTTTTTAGCGTCTGTTGCAATAAAGAGAAACCTTTGTAGGCCTAGAGCCATTATGTAGCACCACTAAAGATGCTACAAAAACGAGGTTCAGAAGTAACTAATAAGAAATCATCAAAAGCAGTAGAAAACCACTCAAGGGCAAATCCATAACCAAGAATATTGATAAAAAACTGTTGGACAATTTGATGAATCGCAAGAAACGAGAGAATAAAATGATAATCGAGGTGGTGACTAGACATTGTCGGTAAAGAAAACGCCTATGTACGGTGAATGAACCATGGCGCGGAAAATGC